AAATTAGTAAAGTTGAAAAGTTTGTACATAATAATATAATAATAAAATTATTAAAAGTAATTACACATAGTTTAAGCAGCTCCTTGGCCTCAAGTCCCATAATAGCGATTGCACTTTCATTAAAGCATTGAAACCAAGCATTATCTGAAAAGTCAGCAACGCTCATGGTCATTATATATCTAAATTGTAAAATATATAAGTCAGAAAAAAGTCATCTGATTTACAGGTAATTCGAAAGTAATATATTTATACATACCTATGGTCAGGTTCCGGATAGTTTCGCGAACATTTTTCACATCTCCATTCTTCCCCATCTTCAAGAACTTTTTTCTTGCATGTAGGACAAGCAGGATAGGAAACACCTTCTCTTTTGATAAATATAATGGTTGCTTTTGTTGAAAAATAATCAGTCTGTTCATCCTGACCAAGTTTCTCATGCTTAACTTGCGCCAATGATTTTTTGGGCTCGTTTTTGTCAATTGCAACGGAACCTGATGAAGATAAGGAGGCGAAATTTGTGCCTGTTTCTTGTGAGGAAAACCAATCACGTATATCTTTCGCATCCTTGATGTCTACATCGACAAGAAACGTGGTTCCATTAAATACTGAAAGAGTTCGCCCTTGAAAGTCTCCGACACGTACGTTCTTGCAGGCTATGATCGTATTCGTTAAATTGGGTCCATATTTTTCAGCATGTTGGCCCCACAATGTCAATGTGATTTTATATCCACTTTGATCAACAATGGTAAGGTCACGCTTGTTGATGTTTTTTTGTGTTGTTCTAGTCGTTATTTGTTGAATATCATCAACATTAATGACCATACCTATAACATCAATAGTACTATCTTTTTCATATTGTGCTATGTTATCAATTCGAACAAAATCAAACTTTATAAGATCAGTTGGATTTCTATTGGCGATCTCTTCGATAATAGACCCACTCTCAAGACATATTTCATAATCATTCTTAACCGGTGAGTATTGTTTTTTAGCGACATTAACTCTTGCCTTCGAAATTAGGTAAGTCTATTGAAATAAATAAATTTGTAAATACAAAAAAAAAAAAAAAAAAAAAAAAAAACTTTTTTTTTTTTTTCTAAATATTAATTCATATGAACCGTATCTTACTTTTCCCTCCTCCAATTTGTCGTAAAAAGAGTCAACTTGTTGTCCAAACGCCGTTGCTCGTATTTCACCCTAATTAAAAATTGAGTATATAAAATTCAAATACTTATTACAAAAACAAATTATTGCAGTTAAATCATTTTAATTATATTTACACTGTCATCTAACAAGGTTACATTGAATAATTTTCCGGAACCATTTTGATTTTGCCAAAGTTTGATATCCGATTTTGAACCAACAACTGCCTTGATCTTCCACCTACAACAAAAAATCATGAGAATTCATTTTAAAAAGACGAAATAAACACACAGGCGGACTTAACGTACTTATTATGATAAGGGCTAAGTAAATTGATAGGGAAAATTCCTTCATCTGCAGGACCTGGAGATCGTTGTGCACTGTTTGAGCTAAAATGATGATCATGTAGCAGATTACTCGATTATGTACATTCATTAATCATCCATTATAAACTTACTTTGATCTCATAACACCACCATTAAAAGTAGGAGTAGGTGGTCTCATTTGCTGCTGGACGTTAGGTACGGGTCGTGGAAATGTTGGAGAAGGTTGTTGAGGACTTGAATGAGCGGAAAGTCGAGAACGTTCAGTGACAGTCTCTTGACCAGGAAACGGATTGCCAATGATTGGTTGTAATTCGCTGCTGGCTACTTCGTAATTACTGACAACTATTACTCTGAATAAAAGAATTTA